GCTATTTTGGCTCCATGCTAGCCCAGGATGAAGGGGGCAGGAAAATGGATTCCACCCTGCCTTCTCCCAGTTTTGCTGCATACAAACAGTCTGTGCAGGCAGTTACTCTCTGTTTCCGGTGTGAATTGTGCTTTGTGAAATAACAGGAAAGAAACAACCATGGTTCAGTGAGTCGCACAACATGAGATCAGCCACGCAGTGCCTGGCAGCTCCTGAGAAACCGTCCAGCTTCCCCTGAAGCCCTCAAGGCTACTCAACAGGCTGGTGTGTGAGTGTTGGGGAGGGCGGGTTCTGAGTCTCTGACTAGGGGTCCCAGACTTTGTTTGTATTTATTAGTAGTGTATTTGCATTACAAAAGTGACTAGAAGACCCTCATTTAGTCAGTACTCGATGTGCCATGCACCCACAAAGAGACAGTCTCTGTCCCCAGTAGCTTATAGCCTAAATAGGCAACACAGACAAAGCAAGAGGGAATGCACCTGGATGTGATATTAAAGAATCAAGAGGATGAACAGCAAAGGGCATGCTCATTACTGTACTTTGAAGGCTGAATCGTGGTGTTAAGAACCTTCCACGTCATCAGAATCTGGCCCAGTAAGCTGCACATTATTACCTTCCCGGTAGCAATATCATTTAAGGGCTAAGGACTGGTTGTTGTGCAGTTTGAACATGGATAAATCAATTCTATTAACACAATTAAAGCTCCAAATGTGGACACCCCTATATCAGATTAAGAGCACCCAGTCTCAGTTAAGCTTGTCATTCTATTACTGGCTGGCCACATCTACATGTGCACTTTACTGCAGAGTAGACTAATTAGCTGCAAAGTACAGTGTCACTGTCTACATGTGTGGCACTATTAGGCTGCAATAAACTAATTAACACTCCCATAAGATAGTACTGTCTGGGAAAGCACTATCTTACAGCAGAGTAATTAACTGTGATTAAACACACACGTGAACACTTACAGCGGGCATAAACTGTGCCGGGTCAGCCCAGCCAGGAGGGGGTCAGACTCCTGCCTGCTGCCTACCCAACAGCTCTGTACTTTCAGTAACCTCATGCCCCAGCCAGCCTCTCCACTGCTCTATGCTGCCACCTGGACGGAGCCCATGGCAAAGGAGGACAGGACTGGCCCTGGCATGAACTGATTCACCCTGGCTCAAGTTGCTGCTGTCCTGGCTGCACATGTAGATGCTGTGCCTGAGAGTAATTTAATTTGGCTCAGACTGCTCTGGAGTTTATTGCTTTGAATGAATTGCACACGTACATGCACCCACTAAGCATGTCCACACAGGACATTTACAGCCAAGCTGCCTAATAAGCTCCACAGTAAGGTCTCTGCATCTATTGCCCTATTAGGTCACAGAAAACTAATAAATGCTGCTGTAGGTTAGTACTTGTAAATACAAGTACAATCCTGTGGCAGCATTATTTACTGCACAGCAACACACGTGTAGATGCTGATGGGGCTGGCTGGGGCATGAGGGTGTTTCAGTGCAGGGGCTGCAGCACATTGAGCTGGGACGGAGCATCCCTGGGCTGGAGCAGCCCCAGCCGTCTCCCACCTATGTCTGCTTCTGAAATGGTTCTGGTATACCAGTGGAACTTTGGTGAACTGATAAGGCCCAAGGGAGTCAGGCACCAAACCCATGGGACTTTGCAGACAACTGGTGCCTAATTTCCTTGTTAGGGTCAAGATGGATAAAAGTCAACCATTTAAAAAAATATATATATAAAGAGTGTGTAGATCACATTTTTTATTTAAATGAAACACATTTTATTACATAAGGAACCTAATGGCATTTAAAATTAAAACAAAACTATTCTTAGGCTGAGACTTGTTATAATCTAGTCACATGCAGTAATGGAAGTTAAACACATTAACAGCATTAAGACACATTTGCTGTCAAAGCTTTAAAGAACTAGGCTGAAGTGTTACAACTGTATTTGATATCGGTAGCTTCTTCTGCAATTAATTCTGTTCAATGGCTAGTTCATAGAACATTAAGAAACAAAATGGCAGCTGAAAAAAGCAAGAAAGTTTTTTTTTTTTCCTCCAATCTATAAATAGAGACTAGTTTTGAAAGTATGAGACCTACTAGCTCTAAAATATGAAGGCTGTAACTGGAAACCATCAACTCAATTATCTGACTATATATTATAGCTGTATTGCTAAATAAATGAGTTTTAAATGCAAAACGTATTTGGTTAAACTTTTTCCTTATATTTCCAATATATTGAAGGTACTGTTACTCAACAAATAAAATCAGTTTTAAAATGCTGTTTTCTTGTGCATTTGTAATTGAATTCCCATTCGTTTGCATCCAATTTCCATCCAAAAGAGCTACCAATAAATAAGAATTAATTGACTTCTGGGCATCACACAAACTGGAGCAATGCTGTGATTCACTTTCAAGAAGACCCTAATGATGCACTGCAGTTGTAAGGTTAGCAGGTATCCCTTGATGCCCTGTTACTTGCTTATACTGGACCTGGGGTGGGCTCTCTTCAATAAACAAAATGGCATTCATGAATAATACAGGCCGGCTTATACCTGCCCAGCCATGTGTGTGACCTGTGGAACTATTACAGCCATTTTTTCTGCCTGGTTCTCAAATGTCTAGCTCTGAGACCCCAGCTGAGCAAAGGGGCCAGGATTAGGTTGTTAGCAGCAAACCCCACAAAGTATAAGAGACATGTGGCCAAATCACCACTCCCTGCCCCAAGGAAGCCTAAAGATAAATGTAGTGGAAGTGGGTGCTATTGGGTCTTGAATCTCAACAGTGCTCTGCATTCAGGTTCCAGCTGGCAGGGTCAGGAGCAATGAGTGCACAGCCTTTCTGGTCTTTGCTGAACCATCTATTCGCCAATTATTCTACATTTGTTTCATGGGCTGCTGGTTTGCCCAAACAGTTTTATCTGAAAGTCCATATGGCCACATAAACAAGGGCAGAGTATGCCCTGTGAAGTTCCCATCTGAGGGAGTGGGGTTAGGAATTGCTATTGTTCATGCATCTACTGATATATCATACATAGGAACAATTACAGGCTGTTTTCCTATTGTTATTGCTATCCTGATATAAAATCTGTTCCCTGCCTCCCCCAACCCCAAAAGCAAAACAAGAAAAAACAACAAACCTCCCAAACAAGACACCAGCCACCCATGTGTCAGAAGTCCCATTCAGAAACAAGGTACAATATGTGCTTGAGGTGTATTAGGTAAGCCAGAGAGATCAACATGTGCATGTGACCAGATCCAGGATCCTTTCATTGCTGAGGGAGATTTACCTGCCATGGTTATGGAAAAGACCTCATGGTTCAGCCATTTCATATCATGCTAATTTATCACATGTTTTGTACCACTAACAAAGAAAGCTGAGGATGCACTTACCAGTATAAAAGCAATTTTTCTATCAATGCTGCAAGGCAGGGGTTTTCAAACCTGGCACAACATGGGCCACATCTCCTGGATCTCTCCTCTCCTGTTTGCAGCTGCATATCATCTCTGTAGTAGCCCCACAGGAATTGTTTACACAAAAGGTCATATTAGGGGAGCACGAATGGAGTGTCTATCTCCCTTCTGTCCCATGAAGAATGAGTCTCCCACTAGCCAGCCCTTTGTATTTTTAGCTCTCCAGGAATGTATTCTCTTTAGGCAAATCCTGCCGCTGCTGGTAGGAAAATGCATTGGGGTGCTACTAAGCCAAACACCCAGGCCGTATCCAAGCCCTACTGGCTTTTCTTGCAGTACATCCCTGGGATTTACCCTTCCTTGTCTGCAGTTAGAACTCTGTTCCAGGCCTTCACCACCTCCTTGCTTTGGGTATGTCAAAGAATCACACAATCACAGCAAGTTAGGGTTGAAGGGACCTCAGGAGGTCATCTAGTCCAAACCCCTGCTCAAAGCAGGACCATCCCCAACTAGATCATCTCAGTCAAAGCTTTGTTTAGCTGGGTCTTGAAAACCTCCAAGGATGGAGCTTCCACCACCTCTCTGGGTAACCTGTTAGTGCTTTACTACCCTCCTAGTGAGAAAATTCTTCCTAATATCTAACCTAAACTTCCCTTGCTGCAACTTGAGACCATTGCTCCTTGTTATATCATCTGCCACCACTGAGAACACTCTAGCTCCATCCTCTTTGGAACCCCACTAACTTCAGTCTGTCATTTTTTTGTTGCTCCATGGGTGCTTTCTCACTCTCTTCTGTGCTGTTGCTTTGTGCCTGAAACAACTTTGGAGGAATCCCCCTAGCCACTGGCCCAGTCCCCTTCAGGATCCTCCCCACTTCTTCTGCAAGGCCCACAGTCAGTTGGCAACCTATGGCTTGGTAGGTGACTAGCAAAGGGTTGTTTGTCACTGTACCTGACACTTTCTGCCATCCAATTCAGTTGCTATGTTTATCTGTTGTGCCCCACCTTACGGGTTCTTTGTGGCTGGGACTGTTCCCTTCCATGGCTATATGCAGCACCTAGCACAATGGGGCCAGGGCTTCTGTTATCTTTAATAATACAAATTAGTGATGAGGATATGCTTTTCCAGGCTTCTTGGCTCTTCCCAGTGAAAGAAGAACTTTCTCAGCTGGCTTGGCTCCATGCAGATCACCAGCATGTGCTAAGTGTGTATGGCTGCTGGTTGGCAGAATTCAGCCTGAGCACTGCTGCTCAAACACACTTTGAGAGAGCTCAGATATTTCATCTTGCAATGGATGAGCTGTGCCGCAAAAAACCACAAGGTGATCTGTGAAATGTTGTTGCAACAGGTCTTAACTGACATTAAGGGGACGTGTCATTAGCACTAACACTCCATACTTTGGTTCACAAAAAATGATCTTCCAGTGGGTTAGTTGATATTAAATGATCTTGATGCTTCTTATTGTAGAACATGTACGAGCTACTCTAGTTACAATTGCAACTGAAGCCCTTAAATATATTAGCAAAACATGCCTGGGGCTGTGTCTCAGGAAGGAGCCAGTCTTATTTCTGGGCATTTAGCGGGAATAACAGAATGCTGATTTATTAATGTTCTTTATTAAAATTTGTAAAAACAGTTGAGCCTACAATTGACATCCTTTTTAATAGATTCAGAGATCACGGGCCAGGTGGGATCATTGTGGTCCTCTCCTGGACAAGACAGGCCACCTGACATCCTTGAATTCAGGCCTGTGTGAACTGCAGCAGACTTTTTAGAAAAACATCTAGTCTTTCCTGCCTCTAGGCTAGATGGGGCCCTCACTATTACCCTTACACTCTTATTCCTGATGATTTCACTGGGTTCACACATGGTGTGAGGGTCTGTTTGGCCTGAGGAAAAAGATCACCATTTGGCCATTTGGGATATGTTTGGATCTACAAACTTGCCTGCTCCTGTCCATATTACAGGGCATCAGAAGAAAAAGCTATTTATCACAGCAGACTGGAACATTTGTTGCTTTAAACATGCGAGGGTTCTGTAGGGGTCCAAGCACCTGGATATTCAGGCTGAGGTTAAGTCAGTGTTCTTCCCAGCTGGTAGCAGTTTGCTACTAATATCTGCAATGCACCAAGGAGGCAAAAAAAAATCCCCGAAAAACCGGATGCTACAGTCCAGACATGAATACAGACCCAGTAAAGCAAGCACCAAATATACAGCACCAAGACTAAATCAAGCTCTGCTAATGGTTACAGGAGGCCGCTGTGCCCATGGGAGGATTGGGGGCTGTTTTCAATGTCCCGCCATCTTGTCAGTTCATGATCTTGCCCTGGAACATACAAGTCTGTAACAGTCAGAGCCCACAGCAGGGGCCTGGGAATCCTGCCCCTTCAGGCATCAGTGGGAAGCTCACGGGCACTGCAGGTATGAGAAGCTTTGCTGCTAATGTATGCAAGTCACCTGTATGCAGACTCCCTCACTCCTGGCACGGATGCTCCCCAACTGTCCATTTGGCTTTGACATCCCGAAAAGGTGCAATATCCTCATAGGTGGCTGTTTGTTCAATTTCCAAGCCCTGCGCAAAGAAGAGTAAGACTGAGACACTGCAGGGGACATTTCTATGGGCGGGATTCTGCTCTGAGATATGCCTGTCCACCTTCCCTTATCTTAGGGACATCCTCAGCTACACATGATAAATTCAGGGCAGAATCTGGGATTCAGTGTGAAGCTGTTCAGCAAGAGGTCATTTACCAAAGCAGGGTCTGAAACTGAGGCTGCTATCCTCGCCGCAGGGACTTGAGGCACCTTCCCTCAAAGCTCATCAACTAGCCTGGCATCCCTATTTAGAAGGGTCTAAAATAGATTTTGCTCCTTTGTGACTTCAAAACATGCATTTTTTTTTCCACTTGCACACCCTGGGTATATTGGGGAACTAGTGGATTCTGACATCCTAAGAGACTGGAAGTATCATCTGGGCTGCGAAGAGAATTTGAGTCACATTGGGCACATCTACACAAGATGCTTCAAGCACAGAATACTAATTCTACTGTGTATTAGTGTCACCAAAAAGCGTGCACTGGGGCTAATGTGCAGTAGTGCTGATTATGGTGCATTAAGGTAGGATGTGTAATTACAGGTACTAAACTTAATGCACCATAATAATGACATTACATTAATGAATGTGTAGATGTGCCCACTGCTGAATCTTCTGAGTTTTGCCTGGTTTTATTAGCAACTATTCAACTGCAAGAGTTAGCTAACAGTTAGAAAAAGGTTGTGTTAACAACTCATTACTTTACCTCTAGCAAAATCTCACAACATAAAACAAAGACACCCAAACAAATGCTCTCTTTATACCAGGGGTAGGCAATTATTTGGGCCCATGGGCCACATAGGGAGTTTTGGGCAGCTGTTGTGAGCCAGGTTAGCACCCCTCTCCCAACAGCTCACCAAACTTCCCTATGTGGGATGGGGCTGTGGGGGAGAGGGAAGGCTGGAGTTGGCATGGGTGCGGGTGGCAGCTTCAGCAAGGTCAGCCTTTGGCCCACCCTTCTATCCCAAGGCGGGGCTCGGGAAGATGCTCTGATCCCCAGGGGAAAGCTGCCACCCGCATCCGCTGATGATGCCAATGCCCACCGGGTGCTGCTTCTGGCAAAGACTGGGAGCTGTTGTAAGCTGCAGGGCTGTGCTGTAGGTATGGAATAGCTGGGAGGGGCAAGGGACAGGAGGAGGAAGGGGGGGAAGGGGGAGACAGAGAGAGTGGTTCTGCCCATACTGAGTGGCAGTGGCTGGTGCTGGGCTCCAGGCAAAACCAGGACCAAGCAGCAGGTGTGCTCACCACTTCTGGGGCCCTTCCAGCTGAAGCTGCCCAGAGCCTGTGCCACAGCTGCCTTGTGGCTCCTCCTTGCTGCTGTTGCCCCACACCATCTTCCGGCTGCCCCAGGCCCATGGGGTGGCAGCAGTGGGGAAGAGCTGCAGGGAAGCCCTGGCACGGGCTCCAGGCAACTGCAGCCAGAAGTGGCAAGTGCGCCCATTGCCTGGTCCTGCTTTTGCCTAGCACCCAGCACTGGCTGCTGCTGCTCATCATGGGCAAGACCGCCACTCTCTGTCTCTCTGTTTCCCTCTTCTCCCCTTCATCCCCCTTGTCCCCTGCAACCATCCTGCACCTTCAGCACAGCTCTGCAGCTTATACCAGCTCCTGGCCCGTGCACTATAAGCAGCACCAGGTGGGCTCCGCTGTGGATGCAGGCAGCTGGTTCCTGCTGGGGATCGGTATGGAAGAATCCTCCTCCAGCTTTTAAGATTTTTTTCCTTTGCTTTGTCTTGGTATTCTCACCTGTCTGTCAATCTTGTTGCTCTGGGTTATAGCATACGTGATATGAATCACTTAATCTCTATTGTTTTAAACTATGGCCTCATGACCGGGGGTGGCAGTGGTTTGAGTCCCAGTTAAGGTATGATGCTTTTTAAATTGGTTGGTCAGCATAAAACAACACCTGGCCTTGACTGGTTTGAGCAGGTGAGGTCAGAGGGGGCTATTTAAGAGAGAGGCTCTCCAGGGAGAAGGAGAGCCATGTTGGGACTTTTACACAGCAGACTGAACCTCTGCATTCCTCACCCACTTCTGGGATGCTGAAGTGAGTAAATTATCAGAAACTTATCTAGAAAGGTAGCTTATAGTAATTTAGAAGCATTTAAAATGGCTATCAGGCCATTTCTGTTTGCTCTGGGTCTTCTTTTGATACTTCTTTGACTCATCTTCCCCACCCCCCCAGCCTATCCTCTCTACCCAGTAAAGCTATCTGCTACAACAAGCTTTGTGGTACATGTTTGAGAGGGAATAGGCATGCCTTTGCATTCCCTTGGCTCGGCTGACTAAGGGAGGCTACTTTCTGTGCTTCAGGTTAAAGGAAGCACCCCAAGATCTAGCATGGGGTCAAGCACCAAGAGCTACAAGGTCGGTGCACCCTGGGGGGCACAGGACCTGGGCAACGACCAGACCCTGAGTGGTGGCGGCAGTTACCCCAGGCTTGTGGATGTGCTCCAGGAAGGGGGTCAGCCAGTTATAGGCGCCCCAGGGGAGACACTCGGAGCTTGGTAGGTGGTTTCATAGTTTCATAGTAGCTAGGGTTCTCTCCTTGTAGGGCCTGTCCTGCTGCCCTCTCACCAAGCAGGTGGCCCTCCTCTGAACCTTCTCCAGGCTGGCCACATCCCTTTTGAAGTGCGGCGCCCAGTACTGGACGCAGTACTCCAACTGCGGCCTGACCAAAGTCGCATAGAGGGGGAGTATCACGTCTCTGGACCGGCTTGAGATGCACCTTTGGATGCACGACAAGGTATGGCTGGCCTTGCTGGCTGCGGTGACTCATGTTAATCTCGGAGTCAATAATGAAAAAGCTAGCTTTGAAAGGGAGCACCCAGATTTGAACTGGGGAACCTCTTGATCTGCAGCCAAATGCTCTACCACTGAGCTATACCCCCTATACTTAATGTCTTGCACATCAGGGTGGGTAGCTCAGTGCAGAAGTGCCCCCTATTGACCTGCCACCATCAAGGCATCCTCCCAAGTCTGCAGGTGATGCTGCCGCATCAGCGCATCAGCTGCTATCTTAGGCAGTGGCCCTGATCCCTGGTGGGAACCTGCAGGCAGCATCCACAGCTGATGCCAGCCTGTACCCAACGCTGCTTCTGGCATATGAAGCAGGAGCTGGTATAAGCTGTGGATGGGGCCGAAATGTGTCCACCCACCTGGCTGGCACAACAGCAGCCAGAGCTGCCGGCTCCCTACGTGCCAGATCCTGTGACTTTGTGGCTTCTGATCCCTGGGCTGGATACAATCAGTTGGTGGGCTGGATCCGGCCCTCAGGCTGTATTTTGCCCACCCCTGCTTCATACCCATTTACTGCTTTGACGATAGCCCCACTACATTACATTAACTATCATTAACCCTAACTATTCCTGCATGCCTATTTTCTTCCCATTAGCCCATAGCAGCCATGGCCAGAGGGGAAGCCAGAGCAGCTGCCTCCTGTGGGAGCCATAAGCTCTCTAGGATTCTCTTCAACTAATTGTTCAACCCAGGAGGGAATCTAGATAGACAAAAGCTGTATCAATATAATTTACACTGGGGTGTTCAGCCCCTGGCCCACGATTCTGTGTCATCTGGCTTGTGGGACTTCTCATGGGTCGAGAAACTTGGCAGTGGGGAGTACTACTGCCAAACTTCCAGACTTATGGCATAAAGGCCCTGCATTGGGCACCTGATTGCAGCATAAAGGTCTGGGTGGGCATGGCGCTAAGGCCCTGGGTTCAATCCCAGTGGTGGGGGCTGGGAGAGGGTGGCACTGGCCCCCGGAACCCAATCTTGGTGCACGTGGGTGGGAGGGGGTGGCATTGGCCCCCAAGACACAATCCCAGTGCAAGGGTATGGGAGGGGGTGTTGCCAGGCCCCCAAGACCCAATCCTAGTGCATGGGGGTTGGAAAGGGATGGTGCCAGGCCCCAAGGCCCAGTTCAGCCTGCAGACTTGCCCTGTGCCATTCTTCTGGCCCGTGGGACCAAAAGGCTCAGCATTGATGTCCTATAGTGATATATTATACTAATAGGGATTTAAATCTGATACACTGTAGAGTAAATTTGCTACTCGTTGGATGCCATTATACTGGTCGAGGACTATACATTGCTTGTCCACAAGTTTATTAAAAATGGAATAAACATTTTGCCTGTCCACACCAGACTTACCTCATAGGTGTGGTCTTCATCAGAAATGTCCTTGCCATCACCCTAGGGGGAATGGGGAGAGACAGGGTAAGTTCAATAATATTTCAGGTGAGTGAACTGTGGAGTCTTGCCTGAGTGCTTCCTGTCAGGGTATCCTGAGTGGGTTTAAACTTTCAGTACTGTGCAATGGTGCCAGAAGGGCTCTCTGGCAGCTGGTCTGTCTAAGAAAAGACATACTTGACACATGTAACACAGTTGTGTTTTTACAACCAGGGGCATTGCCTGTTGTGATGGCCTGAGATTTACACCTAGAATCCTTTGCATTAACCATCTTTGGCTAAAATACCATAGCATGTTTTGCATAAACCAAAGACTTTTCAGCCCCAACAATGGCAAAAAGCTGTCACAGGAGACCTGGTTGCACTCCCATTAATACCAGTGACTCCATTGGAGAGCTCTGACAGTATGATCAATTGCAGACATGGATCCATCGTGTATACCATCAGCACAGACTCCTGCTCATCCTCCCACACTCCAGTCCTCCGAGGACAAACCAGAAGATATGGATGGGCTGCCATTCCTAGTGCAGAGGGAGGACACCCCCTCTGGTCTGCCAGAACGTGGATCCCACAGCTTTCAGAGGAATTCCAAGGGCTTCCACAGCTTCTCATTTTAAAGGTCTCAATGCTTTATTCCTCAGATGAGCCAAAAAGATGATTTTCTTTCTCTGAGCAAGGACTGCGCATGACTAAATCCAGGCCAGGTCACACCCTGCCCTGTTTTGACCACCAGCCATAAAAAGCCAACAGGCTTTTGCAGGGCAACTAGGGCTGTGTGAAGCAGCTAATATTCACTTCAGATTCGGCTGATTCGGAGGACAGTGATTCAATTCGGTGATTCGAATCACTGTCCTGAATTGATTCGGCTGAATCTGATTGGGAGATTCGGGTGCTGCCAAATCAGCCAAATCTGAATCACACAGGCTTCATCCCCTGCCTGCTCTCCCAGCCCAGCAATGGCTACCTC